CACAGAATCAATTTCTTTTCCCAAAACCAAGTAAACCAAATCAGAGTGTTTCAAATCATTCACATTCAAAAACAATTCATGAGTGCTTATTTTGACAACTTTGTTATTTTTAATAGGTGAATCAGGCATATGTTTTTAAGGATAGAGAGTGAATTCCTTGTTGTTTTGAATCAAAGGGTAAGTATTCTTTTCCTCATTGTGAATGGTTTTGTTATCAAATTGCCAAGGTCGACCTAACAGAATGTGTCAGACTTTAAGAGGCACAACATCACAAGTAACTTGATCTTTAAAAGACCCCCCAATTATTAAGCTAACAACACATTGCTTTGTGATAGGAACCTCACCTCCCTCTTTAAACCAAGAGATTTTATAAGGCTTAGAAAGCGGTTTGGATTTTAGTTTCAGCTTATCAACCATCATTTGAGATACAAAGTTTCCTGAACTTCCATTATCTATAATAAGAGTGCAAATTTTCCTTTCAATTGTACAAGTTGTTTTGAAAATATTTCTTCTAAGCCACTTATCCCCGTTGCCAATTTTTGTTGTTAAGACTTGTCGGATTTCCAAAAGTTCTTCACCTTCATCCCCCTCGACATTATTTTTCTCTAACTCTATGTCATTTTCAGTTTCAGAATTATCTTCTTCCTCTTCCTCTACTTCTTCATCATTTTCAATGAAATTAGTTCTTGGTGGATTATTTTTTCTACAAGTTGCAGAAAGATGGCCATAGAGCCTGCATTTGTAACAAGGTCCAATTACTCTAGGTTGTTCAAATGGTTTAGATCCCATAATTCCTTTCCCTTTATCAGCATTTTGATTTTAAAAAAATTTAGTTTTAGTACCCGATATTCCCACAGAAGTTTGAGTTTGACTCTTAATCCCGCCAGTTGGTTGTCGCTTATAAGTTTCTGTTATCTTGTTATGACCACTTTCTCTTTGACGTTGCTTTTCAAGTTTTAAAGCCATTCGATATGCTTCGTCAACTTTTTTTACGTGATGGAAGTTCTAGTGATCCTGAATTGGCCATTTAAAATCATTAATGTATCTTGAAATAGTTTTCTCTTCAGATTCATCTAAATCATTTCTTGATTGAAGTTTGTAAAATAATTCAGTATATTCTTCCACAGTTTGAGTTTCTTGACGCAAATTATTGAACTCTTGAAATAAAGTTCGTGTGTGATCAGACGGTAAAAATTTCCTCTCATTTTTACTTTAATTCATTCCAGTTTTGTATCTTTTCTTTATCACTTAGGTCTATTGTTTTGTAAATTTTTCCACCATGTAATAGCATGACCATTTAATTTCAAGCTTGCAAATTTCACTTTCCGATTTTCAGGAATTTCTTTCCAATCGAAAAATTAATCCATTTTCTCAAGCCATTCGAGAAATAAATCAGGTTGCAACTTACCTTCAAAGTTGTGAACATCAATTTTAATCCCAAAATCCCAATTTCGTTGTCACCTATTTTGATTCCTAGAGATTTCTTCTACGCTTTCAGATGTTTGAACATATTGGTTATTAACATTAAGATTAGCAAGAGTATTAGCCATTTTATTCATCTGATTTTGCAAATCCGCTAATTGTTGCATTACATTTTGCTATTCCCCCGGATTATTAGCCATTTTAAAACTTAAAAGAAACAAGGGACACACTAACCAAGGATTTCCTAACTCGCTCTGATACCAATTTGATGCGTGCAAAACTAGAGTAAAGAGACAAATTGGAGAATACCAGGACAAGACTTAAACCAAACTCAATTCAATTGTAGCCTGCAAACATTCAAACAAACTTCGAAGAAACAAAAGCCAAATCGAACGGAACAAAATAAAAAATATATATATAAAACGCTATCCTCAGTAAAACCGTCTAGCAGTCTCCTCACATGCAACGAGAGTAGGAATGTATGATAAAACTGTGCTTAGGCTTGCAAACCGAGGGTCCACCATTGCAAAAGAGTCCAACATCCTACCAAACTCCTCCGACAAATGTCTCGGAATTTCAGCCAACATACACTTCCAAAGCTCAAGAAGAAGGATACAGGTGGAGTGGAACTTGCGTAGAGAAGAAGAGATTAGAAGCCAAGACGAAATAGAGAGGTGAAGGGGGATGGAACAAGCTCTCAAGCTTTTCCAAGAGAAGAAACCCTCAGGTTTTTGTAGAGACCTTGCTCACAATATTCAACAACCTTTTCCATCTCAAAACAATTTTTTTTTTTTAATAAGCAAAAGAAGGTAGACAAATAGCCATAACACCTCCAACCAAATCCAATTAGAATTAGGGGAAAAGAAAGGCCAAAAGTCACCAAATAGAAGACCAAACTGCAACAGGAATTCTACACAGAAAACAGAGAGGAAGCCACCAAAATCCCCCCAAAATAGCCATGGGAAATCAACCAGCAATGGATCCGAAAAGCCAGCACAGGAGGCAAAGCACCAGGGCACGAGAAACCAACCAGCAAGGGACCCGAAGAGCCAGCACAGGAGACAAATTGGCAAGGCACGAGAATTCAACCAACAAGGGGAAACTGAGATGACAAAACGAGGAGAAGAGGCACAAGTCCACTCCATAATGAATCCTTGAAATAATAGCATACCTTTTTGAATTAATGAGCTAGGAAGTGCATTTAATCCCCAATCATTGAGCTAAACTTCAGCTCAAACATTTATGAGCTAGCACCAAGTAGAATCCAGCATTTTTTTAGTTCAACACCAAGCAACCAAGGCCCACCCGAGAGCAACCACCACACCAAACTGAAATCAGCAAGCAGCCCAAGGACGAAGTGGACCCAAAAGCTAGCAAATCCAAGGCTTGTCATGCCTAGCACATTCCTACCATGATCATTGGAAGCCCAACCATCATAGGATAGCATCAACAAAAATAAAACACAACTAATATTGTTCAAAATACAATAAAACATAAATAAACCAAAATTATTTAATGCATCACATAATACTTGTTCATGTGAATCATTGGAGTGTGCTCGTGATATTATGTTATAAATTCATTATTACTCGCATTCGATCCGGCTGTGTATGTGTTGTAGATTGGGTGCAACTACCTGGAGTTAAATGTTTTTGTGTATTTTTAGAGAGAACAAAATTTATCTATATATAGACCGTATTTCACTCGGATGGGCTCCACATGCGTCATTTTTCTAGCTATAAATCAGCGCCCTTTCAATTCAGTTTTATTACATGTTTGTTTCATCAACCAGGCTTTAGGGAGTTTTTGAGTGTTTGGGAAAATTCTTTTAGTGGCAGGGAGGTTTATGCCCACAAGTAAGCTTTTAAGGTCATCACAAATTTCATGTAGGTGCTTATAAGTTCAATGTTCTCATTTTTGTAATTTTATTCTTATTTTAGTATTTTTGTGCTTTCAGATTACTTCAACTCTTTTTAATTTTTAATTCATCTTTAGAAATTCCTTTTATATTATCCTGTTTGGATTCCCCATTAATGTAAATTTGGCTAGCCTCTCGGCGACGTACCAGCATAAGAGGTGTCTTTAGGAATGTTGAGTCTGCCCATAAAGTCAAGAAAGATGTGCATGATCAATGTTAAAAATATACTGCATTTAGAGGCTCCTATTTCACAATTCCAAGAAAGAGAGGGAGAGGGAGAGTGAGAAGAGAGAGAAGGGAGGTGGCTAGTATGGTCGAGCTAGGGCACGACCAACGACGTTAGTGATGGCAGATGCTTCGGCAGCGAGGATGTTGGTGATCCCTCCATATTTCCCCCATGGGTGGGAATTCCACCTTCCGTCGGTCGTCCACTTCCCTTACCCAAAAGACCTCCCATAGGGGTTGGCCACCCCACTACCTTCACCATGAAATGCCCTTTCTGCTGTCCCCACATCTGATAACCCTATTCCACCCCTTATCGGAGCCCTCGGAGGCGGCTCTTGATGAATACCCTAGTCAAACTCCTCTTGTCTGATCTCCTTTCCCTTCGATTCGGCCATGGGAATCTCGGTCAAATCTTGGTTAGGGTTAGCCATCGTAACCACTCTTGAGGTTTTTGTTTGCATCTCCAAGAGCTTTCTTAACATCTCCTCCACCCTTCTAAATTGATTTTCCATTAATAAAAATCTTTCTTTCATGGTAGAGAACTTCTCCACACCGATTTTGAATTGCTCCATCTCGCCTTCCAACACCTCCATCTTCTTTACATCCATTAATTAGATCTAGGCTCCAATTGCAAAAACAATGAAAATATCTTTTTTTTTTTCTGCTCAAGAAAGCGCTATGATACCAATTTGATAGGAAACACTCGAAGATTTCAAGTAAATCCTATCAATAGAGTTGAAAAACAACAAAATGCTCCGCAAATCCCATGGAAAATCAACAAAACAGTAATTTTTATTGAAGAAATCAAACTAACGGAGGAAATAAAGCAAGATACAATTGATCATCTATTCGAGAGTAGGATCTATCTCTCCCAAATCCCTAGGCGCCGCTAGAGCTCAAGAAAAAAACTAAACCTAAGAGATCTCAAATTACAGCCCAAGTTCATGATGAAATCCTAACCCTTATAAGAGAAACTTTTAAAAGCAAAGAAGATTACAATCTCTAAACAGTCCATAATTCAAATTTTCCCTTTCAAAGCAATATTTAATTGAGTTGTTCTCTCTCAAACTAATATTTAATTGAGTCCCCTAATTCAAATTGGACTGGTCTAACACGAACATCTTATGCTTAAATGATCAAGTTTCTTTACAGTGCTGAACGTAGGCCTTAATATCAACCATTTTTTTAAGTGCTTTAATTTATGCCTTGATATAGAAATATTTGTCTAAATTTCATTTTGTGCCATTGACTTATTTCATCAATTTGCTTTTTTTGCATTATCTCTTGTAAATTTGATGCATAATTATTTGATATTGGGATAGTTCTGCTGTGCTCTCAAAATCTAAGAACTCAATTATACCATATTTGCTTAGGCTTGGGTTTTTTACTACACTTGTTTCACTCATTTAACATTTTCACCTCTGCATATCTATAGATTGAGTTTTCGGAGCCAGGAATCTGTCATGGTTTGGTGCTTTGGATTGACTGGGTGCTAGATGTAGATAATTCCATTACTATATCTACTGGACCAGGTTTACAACAATTTCATCAGAAGCCTAAAATTTTAGTTTGTTTTTTATGCTTTCATATCTTTTGTGCTTCGTTCACAGTTAACAGATACTGGAAGCAAGGAGTGAAACTTCTCAGCACACCATTAAAAGTTGACGTTGGATCTTCTGTAGAGATTGAGGCATCCTTTGATGCTGCTAGTGGTGAACTGACGTTAGAATCCTTATTTCCTCCTTGATATGTAGTAAGTTTGATTCCTTGAGCTTTGATTGGATTTAATAACTTGAAGTTGGATTGAAGAACTGTTATATGAAAAATAATTTTACATCAAAAACTTTTTTGCTGCAAGAAATTGTATAGCGGACACGATCACTTCGTTAGCCGCACCTACCCAGAGGAAGGAGAAATTATTCTGTGCGCATTCCAGATGTAAAGCTAGGTTCGAACATCAATAAAGAACTGCAACATCACAACTAAATATTTCTCGCACACTTGGAAACAAACTAACAAGAAATATGAATAAAGAAAATAATTTCCTCACATGACTCCAAATTTATTTCAACCACTTCTCAATATTTATATATACTAGGTGAAATGTACATGTATATGATGCATGTGAATAAAATTAAAAAGAAATGATATTATAAAATTTCAAAAATATCAATAGGCATAGAAGCTAGTTTATGTGTAAGATAAGGGGTCCTACTCAATTAATTTTTTTAATATTAATATAGTATCCATTAGAAGATTAAATTAGTCATTATCTATAAGAATATCAATTTTTCATGTAAGCAACAATGAATAAGTACAATGAGAAAATGTAATAGTTAGTAACAACTTATTCTAAATACTGTGAATGAGGAGTTTTCACGACATTGTTAAGCTAGGAGAAAAAATATATTTATTTAATATTCTCAAATGGGTAATGAATATATGCATAGGGCATAGGCCTACTCTGAAACCAACAGTCAAAAACTTGCATTATTCTTATCAATAATATTTTAGCGCTATATATCACCAACTCTAAAATATAAATTCTTTTTTAGTAATACAAGGAAAATACCTTGAATTTCGTCCATGTTAGAAGTGTAATATAAAACCTACGTTGAAACAATTGGATATAGAACTAATCAATATATTGAAATTTTTATACTTGAAATTCATGAAATTTGTTTGAAAGAACCCTAGCTATAATAGCTAAATATCAATATTTATAAAAGTTCTATAAGCTCAGCTGCAACAATATCTTAACTCTCCATAGTTATTTATGTTTTGAAATTTAACAGCCGACAAACACAGTTGTTTGAAAGAACCCTAGCTTTAGCGAAGGTGTCACACCTACAAGGGAGAGGTTTTGTGAAAGTTCGACAAGGATGTTAAGCCTAAGTGAACTTTTCTCTATGCACACCAAAAGGGAGGTGAATTGATGAATTTAAAAATACTAATTGCTTACTTCATAGAACAAATATGATATTTTTAGATTTTTTAGCATTTGGAAAAGAAGCAACAATATACTTAATGTGGAGGCAAACAAATTTACCAAAACATCAACACAATGATGATGATATTGTAATTAATAGAATAAAGAATTAATCATAATTTTCTCCACATAGTTATCACATAATTAAAATTCAAAAGAGTAACACCAGAGATTTATAGTGGTTCAATTAAAGAATGACCTACGTCCACTCCTTAGAGTCCTCTCTGAGTATTGCACTATTACTATAGTGTCTCTCCTAATCCCCCCATAATAAGACGCAGAAGCCCTTACACAAATCACTTCTACCAACCCCAATGCAGCAGAGAGCTGGAAGCTTTGTCACCCTCCTGGTGATGGAAACAAGCCTTCAATCATTTTTCTCCCTCTTGGAGAAGACTGAGAACCTCAAACTCTTTTATCATCCTCATTGTGATGGCATAGAATCATGAACTCCTTTCTCACCCTCTTGGTGATGGTAGGAACTACAAACTCCTTCCTTACCCTCTTGGTGATGGAAGAGTACCACACCCTTGTGAAGAAGAAATTTCTTGCTAGAGCCACCCAAGAAACCTAGAAAACACTTGGCAAAACAAGGCAAGAAACATACTTGGAGCAACCATGCGAACCCCTCACACTAATTCTACCTCACAAACAAGCTCCCCTTTCTTCTTCTCTAAGCTCTCCTAGTTCTTCTTCTTAAAGCTCCCTCTCAAGAACACTCAACAACTGAAGACTTAAAATAAGTTCAATGAGAGAGATTAACTATAAGGCTTCATAAGAAGCCCTAAAATTAAATTATGTGACTCTGATCATATAGTATGGTCATGGATCATCCAGTAATATTAGTGCGAAGTACTCATGTTAATACTGTACAATGATCTAGCATTGTATGATCATTTCAAAGAATTGAGTTGACCGTCCAGTAAGATTTTGAGCATCATCGAGTAATATTAGTTCAAACAACTTGGATTATCATCCTCTAAGATTGGCGATGATAAATCATTGTCCCACATAGGAATTAGGTCAAATAGTACAATTGGTCCCAATCATCCTATATGATCTGGCTTGATTAATAAATTTAAAATCATCCCCTAATCACAAGATTAATTTAGGTAAGATTTATTTACTTTGTACAGTACGATGCCTATTTGTAATATGATTAACATAAAATTTAAATTTTAAAATATTGCCTAAATTATGATTGGTGACTAAGTTCTTGATTTCAACTGATCGTCATGCACGATCTTGATCGTATATTACAATTAGTTCAAATAGCTTTAATTACTTAATTAACCATTTTTTATATTTTTTCATGAGTTGATCATATAATATGATATATATCATCCAGCATGATTAGTTCAAAAAATTTAAATTTCTAATCTTGTCCTTGTCTCACTCCCTTGAGTGTGTGTGCATGGTTACCAAGCTTGGTATCCACTAATTACATTATTTGACTGAAGAAAAATAGAAATACATAAGAATTAAAAAATACAGACACATTAAGACATACTTAACCCTAGTCTACCTAATATTGAGCTGAATAAACTTAGTGTATGGTGGATCTAAAATGTTAGTGCACAAAAAAATGTAATAATAGCGATTGATAGGAGATACCATATTAAGGAATTCAATAATATTTATTATTATAAAAAATCATAAGACTTGGGTCCAGATTTGCATTATTTTGAAAATTTTGACAATGGAGGTTCACTTAGAGATGGAGCTATGCTATTATTGCTAGGTTTCACACACCATAGGAGAGGAGCTATTAAGTTTGCCTCTCTAAATGGAGGTTTAAATGGAGACATGGCGAGGGTGATTGATAATGAGTGTTGCATGCTAGAGTAGAGCGAATGTTTGGTTTGCCTCTCTTCACAGAGGTTTGCATGATGACGAAGTGAGGGTGATTATTATTGGGGTTTGTATGAGAAAGGAGAGGAGATGTTGAGTTTGCCTCTCTCACATTCATATATATAGGAGGGAATAATTACGAAGGTTGAATGAGGAATTTAAATGGTTTCTTTTGTTGTACAGTTAGAATTTTGCTTAGGTGAATTATATGGATGAGATTAAGTTTAGGAAAAATCACAAGTGGCTTATATATTTTGTACAACCATGAATATTTGTATGGGAACCATTTTGCAAGTATCTTGTAGGTTATATTTGTATCAATGAACCCAAACATATCCAACATATACTCTGCTAAGAATATCTATGACCGAGATTTTCATGCCCATACAAAATAAAGAATTTTTTAGATGTCTGACACCAATGAAGATCGACAGCGCTTGGGATATTATAAGATACCTCACTTTCCATGAAGACCATGAACATGAGACCAAATAGTGGCATCACCTACAAAAACTAGTCAAATAACTCATTAAGGCTGGAAAATTCAAAGAGTTCATTCTTACCAAACTAGAGTAATGACCAGGAAAAGCCCTTGTAGAAGAAAGAGCCAACAAGGCAAGACCAACATGACCCATCCATATCACTAGAGTAATGCCCACCATCATGGGTGCGAAATGTAGAGATGCTCCCACACATGCAATGAAGTCGGAAGCCAAAAAAGTCCATTTATCATCATTCTTACAGTTTATTGATGATGAACTAGTAACCTTTATTGGTAGAGATGAACCGACCAGGGCAACCCACATAAAGAAAGCAATTATAATCACAACCCTAATCACCAACTATCAAAGCAGCAGCATTATAATAGATACATGGAGATTAGTGAACAAAATCTTCAAAATTATCTTTGATAAGATGAATCATTTGACTCAATTGCTTCTTCTCTTGACTTGGAGAGAGATGCTTCCCCTTCTCCAAATTCATGAAAAATGCAAAGAAATTTCTTAGGGAGAAGATGAACCACCTTTAGCAACTAAAGAATCTCCTCACTTTATCACATCTTCTTTAATTCTCTTGATCGGGAAAAAATATTACTACTTTATCTAGAGTCGGTGAAGTCATCATTAGTTTTGTACTCATCAAAGAAGAAGGAAGATAGAAAAGGACCATCTACTATGTAAGTTGCACCGTTGGAGGTACAAAGTAAAGATGCCCCATCATAAAGAAACTTTCATGGGCAGTCATCAATTCAACAAGGTGATTATGACCTTATTTCTAGGCACACTCCATCCAAGTAGTAACTGGTCATCCTCTTAAGGTAGTTCTCATTAATCTTATTCACTCAGGCCAATTACTATAATGTTTTATAGAACTTATTGAACTTTTAATCACCTATACACTAAGAATAATCATCAAACATCAACCACTTAATTATTTTCTCATAGAATACAATAAATAAGATTAAGATTCATAAATAGCATTGCAACCTTGCTAGAAGTTATATGTAGATGGTTTCTTAATATATTAAGGAGTTGGTGCAGGCATAGTCGTTATTTATAAATTTTATACTATTCTTTATCTTTAAATTCAATGAAAATATAGTGTTATAGTTTATGTTATGTAGGAAATGCCTAAGAAAATGAAACAAAAAATCATAAGTGTTAAATTAGCATTGTAGTGCTCCAACTACCAATGTTGTGGCATTTGCAATGCCTCGATGCTAGATCAAGGAATCACAGTGCTGGAGCCTCAAGAAAAATGAAAAATGATTGAAGTACCACAACATTATAAATCTAAAGTCAATGTAGCAATGCTTCATAACTCTGCAACATCAAAAACCCATTCCACTTCACCTGAGTCTCAAGAATTTGAGTGCTAGAGTGCCAAACATTATAATTAAAAGTTTGAGTAGGTTGTTAAACCTAACAGAACTATCTTAAGGCTAACCAAGAGGAGGGGTGAATTGGTAATTTAAAAACTTCTCTTGGATTTTAGAAAAAATCGTTATAAGATATTTAGCATAATGATAGATTTTAACAAAAAAATTCAACAATAGTAACTAAAAGTGTGGAAAATAAAAAATGTAATAAAAAGTAAAGAATAGAAGAACACCAAATTTTATAGTGGTTTGGTCCAACAAGACCTAC